AAAAAAAAAAAAAAAAAAAAAAAAACAAAAAAAAAACTATGTGTCTCTTCTTCCAGTTTGTAGTTCACATTTCACTTTCTTCTTTAAGGTTCATGGATCTAAGCTCCCAATTTTCATGTTAATAACTTGTTTCATAACCCTTTTTGGGGCTTAAGGAGTCTTTCACTGCCCCAAAGTCAAAAAGATATTTACCTATATTTTCCACACAAAATTATATAGTTTTAAAAAATTCTTTTCCCCTGTGGTATTTCAGGATTTTTTTTTTTTTTTTTGAGACAGGGTCTTGGTGAACAGAATGAATGATCACGGGGAGACGCCCTCTCACTCTTAGTGATGCTTTCTGTCTTACAATCTTTTTTTACGATGGTAACATAGCTAATACACCAGCTGCATTTTGATTTGCATTCACCTGATATTTTTTCCTTTTACCTTCACTTTATGTCTATCCTTGTTTCAGGAATGCCTCTTAAAGAGTGCTAGCCTGTCTCATGCCGTATCTGGCAGTCTCTTACCTGCAGAGTCAGTCCGTTCATACAATTCTCTCCAATCTTAGTATTTGCCACATTTTCTGATTATACTTTTCTCCTTTTGGATGGTGACAAGCCTTCCCATGAAATCTGATAACTCTCCCTTCTCTGAACTGGGTTTATCTTACTACCTTCTTATCTTCCTTCCTTCAGAAAAGGACACTTTTTTTTTTTTTCTAAGCCTCTGAAGCTGTGTTTGTATGAGAATATATATTTTTATGCTCTCACATTTGAATAACAATTTGATTGGATAAAGAGTTTTAGGTCTCAAGTTTATTTTGTTTCTTAATTTTTAATTTCTAGGAGACAGGATCTTGCTGTCACCCAGGCTGGAGTGCAGTGGCGTGATCATAGTTCACAACAGCCTTGAATTCCTGGGCTCAAGTGATCCTCTCACCTCAGACTCTTGAGTACCTGGGATTACAGGAACATGCCACCATACCTGGCTAATTTTAAAAGCTTTTTGTAGAGTTGGGGTCTTGCTATGTTGCCCAGGCTGGTCTTGAACTCCTGGCCTCAAATGATTGTCTTCGTTCATTTTCCTCCATTTCTTCCTTTGTATCGATTTCGTTAGGCCTATGCAATTTATTCATTTCAGCTGGGCAAGGTGTTCATGCTTGTTGGTTCATCCCAACACTTTGGGAGGCAGAAGCAGAAGGATCTCTTGAGCTCAGGAGTTCGAGACCAACTTGGGCAACACAGTGAGATCCTGTTTCTACAAAAATGAGTAATAAATAAAGCAATTTATTCCTTTCAGATGTATTTTCAGTTCTAGATTCTCTATTTTGTTAGTTTTTTTCTCTGCTCAAATTCTGTCTTCTCTCAATCATTCTGCCTCTTTTCCTTTTTCTTTAACATAAAGAAAACTTTTAATGGAATTTTAAAGTCTGTCTAAATTCCAACACGTGGGTGATCTGTAAGGTCTTTTTCTGTTGACTGTTTCTTCTTTAGATTATGTGTCATAATTTCTTGCTTCTCAGACATAGTGTGTATAAGAACACTGGAAATCAAAGTAGGAATTCCTCCACCAGGATGAACACGCTCTCGTCTCCACCAGGTAGTGGGGTTGAGCAGCTGGCCTGTGATATCACCAGGAGTTGAGCTGGGCTGGAGCTGGAGCAGTTTTAAGTAGTTTCGGCTCAATATACGTTTTGAATGCTTGAGGATTTGAACATGCCTCTCCCTCCAGGCGGACTCGGATCGAATCCTTGTGAGACTATGGAATCGCTCCCTGCTGTACAGACCAGCCCCTGGCTTCTCATCACTTGTAACGATCCTGTGGGTGAGACCTGGTGGGTGCCGGGAACTCGCGTCTGTGTCGATGGTGCTTGTCCCACAGCATGACCAGTGTGGCTGCAGGATGAACGCAGGCAGCAGCCTCAACCTCTGCATCCTCAACGTGACAGGTTAAATGACAGGACTTCACAGGCTTCATGGAGCTCCTCCAACATGACAGTGACAGCCACGGTACTTTGTGGCTGTCTGCACGCTGACCAAATGGATCTCTTCAATGTTTAAAAAATTTCGCTATCTCACATCTGACATCGCTGTTGAGAAGTCCGACGTCAAGCTGGTTCTCGTTCCTCTGTACATGACCCGTTCTTCCCTCTGGAAGTTAGAAGTTTTCCCATGTGTCCGGGATATTCTGGTATTTGACTGGAATGGGTCTGGCATTTGTTCCCCTTTGCTCCTGTCTGATGTCCCGTGGACGCTTTTAATCCGCTGTTCATCCGGAGCTTGGGGAATTTAACGCCCTGGCCACTCATCCTTCATTTTTATTTTCTCTTCTTCGTGGGCTCCAACGGTCTCAGCATTGGCCATGCCTTCTACCCTCTACTGCACCAACAATTTCTTTTTTTCTTTTCTTGAGCCAGAGCCTTGCTCTGTTACCCAGGCAGGAGTGCAGGTGGTGTGATCTCACCTCACTGCAACCTTTGCCTCCCAGGTGTAAGCGATTCTCCTGCCTCTGCTTCCCAAGTAGCTAGGACTACAGGCATGTGCCACCACACCCAGCTAATTTTTGTATTTTTAGTAGAGACAGGGTTTCACTATGTTGGTTCATCATGCTGGTCTCCAACTCCTGATCTCAGGCGATCCTCCTGCCTCAGCCTCCCAAAGTGCTGGGATTACAGGTGTGAGCCACTGCACCTGGCCCCTACGTTTTCTTTCTGATTTATCTATCTTTCCCTGCTTCTTTCTGGGAAAGTTCTTCAAGCTGATCTTTCAACTCACCAACTTACTCTTCATCTGTATCCATTTATATATTGTCTGTTATTTTAACTAGGATAGTTCTTCACCTGCTTCTGCCCACTTTCTTTTTAAATGATTTACCGATCCTGTTTTGGATGGCCAATGCCGTGTTTACTTTGTAAATCTGTCACGGTTATTTTATACTGTGAATCCATTTTCTTTTTCTGTACAAGATGGGGTCTTGCTCTGCCCTCAGGCTGGAGTTCAGTGTCAGGACCACGGCTCACTGCAGCCTTGACCTCCCGGGTTCAAGTGATCTCCTGCCTCAGCCTCCCGAGTAGCTGGGACTACAGGCACGTGACACCATGACCAATTTTCAAAATGATTTGTGGAGATGAGGCCTATGTTATGCTTGCTAGTCTCAAATTCCTATGCCAGTCCATCTTCTCCACTTCTGCTTCCAACCGTACAGGTCATCTGGACTTTTATTACTGGTCTCAAAAGAGACAGATGTACTTCTGAGGGTTCTCAATACCCTGACTGGTCACTCACCTTCTCCAAGGATCCCGGCTTCTCATCTGGCATTGTACAGGGGGAAGAGGCACTGGGAGGGGGTTGTCTCCAAGACATGGGAGCTCACCTTAAGGCCTGGAAGCCCAGAAGGAAAGGAGGGATACCTGAGGCCAGGTATTCCCAGACCCTAACCTGAGTGAGGCCATATGGGTTGGCCTTGGTTTGGCGGGCACGTGGAAGATGGTGACGTGCTTATGTGCCCCATTCATCTCTGGGTGCTGCCACCCACCCTCCCTAGGCTGATTTGTTTAAAACTTGCTTCATAAAAACGAGCTCACATCGCACAGACTTTCCGATGCACCATTCGGACTGCCCTGGCGTGATGTGATGCACCTGCAGTGTGTTAATGACCCCACTTCTCCAGGGACTTCGGTCAGAGGGGGCCTTGTCTCTAGGCTGTGCACCCCCGTTCCCAACCCAGATGGGTGGGACCTCAGTGACAATGCTCTCTGGGGCAGCACTCCTCAAATGGCTGCAGCAGGAGGGGGATCTTGTTGAAATCAGGCTCTGATTCCACAATTCTTCAAGGGGCCAGGAGTAGGAGGTGGACTCTGAATCTGCATTTGCCTCTTTAGGACTCTGCCCTTGGGCTTTCTCTTGGCCTCAGCTACTGCATCTGCAGAGGGGGCATCTGGGTGTTTGACCCCCTGCTCCAGGAAGCCTTAATGAGTGTCTTGTGATCACGACCACTGTCACCCAGGTCCACATTCACAGAGAGGAGACTGAGGGAGGAGGGGCAGGACCAGGTCAGAGCTGGACATCCAGGCCTGGGCCTGCAGCCCCCGTGCTCCTTTACATGGCTCCAGGGAGGAAGGTGTGGGCCCCGCCTGACCCACCCAAGGGCCCGCAGAATCACCGAGGCACTGGGGAGGCTCACTCCAGACACCCTGTGGCTGGCAGACCCGGATGCGGCTGGGGGTGCTCAGGCTGTAGCCGCGGTCACATGCATACAGGGCCATGGCGCCCAGCCGCGTGCCGTCGAAGCGCAGCGTGGCGTGCTTCACCTCCTCCGGGGGGCCGCAGTCCACCTCTGCAAGGCACAGCAGCCGGTCCTGCACATCCTGAGCCTTCCCGGCCCCTCTCCACCGCTCTGCCCTCTGCCTGACCTGGCTGCAGGGCCCAGGGACGTCCTGCACCCGCACTGCCCTTCACAGGGGACTTCTGGGGCCTGGCTGCCGAGATGCTTGTTTCCTTCTTCCCATTCCTGCCCTGCCCAGCTCTGCAGGGAGTAGCAAGAAGACCCACGCCCCCACGTGACCCCTGGCCCTCTCACCTGCCTGGCACCGGCGTCCCATGTACCCAGCTTGGCAGTGGCAGAAGAAGTCCGCGCCTCGGTCCTCACAGGTGCCCCCATTCACACACGGGCTCCGGAAGCAGGGGGATGGGGCTGCCAGAATGCAGGAGGGTCCTGGTCACTGCGTCGTCCCTGAAGGCTTGGGACTGCATGGGCATCCAGCCTCGTGCACCCAGCTCCACCTCCTGCACCTCCAGAGCCTGGGCCAGCCCTGCCCATGGGCCTGTTTATACATCTGCAGGGCGGCTGCACCCCTGGCCTGGCCTCCCACTACCTTACCTATCTCACAGTGCCGCCCGGAGAAGCCTGGGGGACAGTCACATTTGTATTTGCCAATGTAGTGGAAGCAGGTGCCACCGTTGTGACAGGGGCCAGAGGCACACGAGTCTGGCTTCCCTGGAAGTAGAAGGCACCCAGCCGGGTCAAGGGTCAGCCCACCACTCCTCCCAGGTTCCCCAATGTCCCAGAGCTGGAGCCTCTTCATGAGAAGCAGAACCGCAGCTGGCGGAGAGGGTGTGTCAGGGGCCCCAGCTCAGGGCTGGCCACTCATTCCTGCCCTCCCCACCATCCCTGGGGGCCACACTGATCTCACAGTGCCTCCGGTGAAGTGGTGGGGGCAGGTGGCCAGTCACTCCCGCCCTCCCCACTGCCCCTGGGGGCCACACCTATCTCACAGTGCCTCCCGGTGAAGCCAGCCGGTCACTCCCGCCCTCCCTCCGCCTCTGGGGGCCGCACCTATCTCACAGTGCCTCCCGGTGAAGCGGTAGGGGCAGCTGCAGTGGTACTCACTGCCCGCCTCCTTGCACGTGCCCCCGTTCCGGCAGGGCCCTGAGCTGCACAGATGTGGCTGGGCTGCGTGGAAGGACAGAGAGGCAGATGAATGGGGCTGGCTGTTGCCCTGCAGAATGCCTACATCCTCCTGGCGTCTCCTCAGTCCTCTGGTGCTAGTGGGGGCTGGAAGGCCAGGCCTGCTTCTTGGCTGAGCCCCAAGGCCCGGCCACAGTAGGGGCCAAGCGGGTCTGCACATGTGGCAGGAGGCGGGGGTGGGGCTTGCAGGCTGGAGACCCCAGCTCAGCCTCAGACCAGCCCTCTGCACGCCTTTCCCAGGCTCTGGCAATGGCTGGGCCCTTCCTGGTGGAGAGCCAGCTTCACCACTGCAGCAGGAGCAGCACCCCTCCTTCCTGCCACGGGCAGTCCCCATCTGACAGGAAGTGGTTGAGGCTCATTTGCCGTGACATTGGGGCCACGGCAGTCAATCTGGGCTTCTGTGTTTTCTGTACCTGCACTGGTATTGCCACGTTTTCTCTGGGTCCTGACAGTTCCTGGGCCCCCAGGGAGCTCAGCTGCCCAGGCCTGTGCTTGAGGCAAGCACACATCGAAAGCCGTCTGCTAAACCAAGCACATCTATCCTGGCACCTTGACGACCACACTGTCACAGGGCTGGTGAGGAGCTCCAAATCCTTGTACTCCTGGGTGTTCTGAGCGGCAGGAGGGGCCGGCCCCGTGCTCACTCCTCTCCCCCCAGCCCTCACCCCCAGGGGCTCCCGCGCTGCAAGTCCAGGCTCTGGCTGCCCCACCCCTGAGGACAGCCATTCCTGTCTCTTCTGTGCTCCTTTTGGGTTCACAGGCCTCAGCATTGGTGGCCTGTGTGCTCGCAGAAGCTGGGACCTGGGAGGAGGGCTGTGCAGTTCCTGGGATGGGCACAGAACCAGTGGGGCAGGGACACTGGGTACTGGCAGTTTGGCCTAGTTAGGAGGTGTGGGCTCTGGCTGGACACCCCTTGGGTGTGGTGGCCTCCATACCACTGGTGGGTGTGAGCCGGGCTAGGGCCAGAGTGGACTCCGGGCAGGGCCCGTGAGGGGCCTCAGGGTGGTCCTAGGAATGTGTTAAGATGTCATCAGAGCTTGCGAGGAACCAAGCAGTTGGGGTCTTCTCTTTGGAAAGCTGCTGTGTCTCTGCTGCGGGGGTGTGGGGAGCCCCTGGGTTCACAGCTGAGACTTCAGGGTCTTGCCCTCAGGGGTAAGGAACAGAGCAGGGGAGAGGCCATGGGAAGGCCCCACACCAGTCCAGGCTGTGGGGGGTACCAGAGGCCCTGAACCCTAGAGAGAGTGCAGGCCACACTGGGGTCAGTCAGCCCCCTCGGCACTGGCCACTGAGGCACCGACACGTCTGGGGGTCCTGACCATTGCTTCAAACTGCACGCAAGGGACAGTCTTGGTGGGCACTGGCAGGGACAGCTGCACCTGCACTGTGCTTACGGAGAGATACTCCTATTTTCAAGCAACTAAATGTAGTAAAATTCGACATTCTCCATGCTGAATTTGAGCAAAATCCTAAGGAAATTTTTAACATAAAATTTAAAACAATGATTCTAAAACCTATTTGGAAAAATGCTGAGCAGGCAACGAGCTCTATTTTGAGAAGAGCAAGGTAATGAGCGGTAGGCCTGGGACTGGCGCGGATCAGAACCGCCCAGGGGTGAGGGGCTCGTCTCAAAACGCACGGACCGAGCAGCGCAGCAGGCCGGGCTCCAACGAGGTCAGCAGCTCCCAGACAGGCCGGAGGCCGGGGCCGCGGGCGCTCTCCGAGGTGCTGACGCCCGGCCCGCCCTACCTTTCTCGCAGTGCTTCCCGTGGAACCCGCGCGGGCACTCGCAGGTGTAGGAGTCGTCATGGGCGTCGCAGGAGCCTCCGTTGAAGCAGGGGTCCGAGTCGCAGGGTGATGGCAGGGCTGGGGGCGGGGGGCACAGGGTGGGCCTGGAGCTCATGCTGCACCCGTGTGGGCGGCCAGAGGCTGGGGGGGCACCTTGCCTGCCCGGGTTACCCTGACACCCTGTCTGGAACCAAGGCCGCTTACAATGCACTCTGGGCATCTGGATTCCTGAGTGGGCTCTGAGCCCCTACCTGGAATTTCTTTTTCTTGATTTTGGGAGAACTCGCCCCTCCCTCTTCCATGAGGTAGCCTTCCTGACATCACTGCCAGCATCACGTCATTATTCTACATAATTCTACATGTTGCCAGTGATAAACCATCGACACACCAACAAACGCGCAGCAGTCACGCATTTACCCACACGTGCCTAACGATGTATGCGTCACGTGCTGGGGCTCAGGGAAGAGCCACATGGCGCTTGCGGACTCGAGAAGGCGCTTTTCCACCTGCGAGCTTCCTCCCTGGGGTGGAGGAGACACCCAGCCCCGTGCTACAGGAAGGCTATTGAGAGGCTCGCCCAGGTGCCAGCTCTCCCAGGAGTCAGAAGGGAAGCAGGGACTCTGGCCTCCGCCTGCCTCACTCCCACTTTCTCCCTGGCTTCCGTCCCGGCCCCCGGCCCAGCAGGTTCGGCCCCCCGCCACTCACAGTGGCTGGCATTGTGGTCGGTGTGGCAGACGCACAGGTACCTCCCGCTGTGCTCCATGCAGTAGCCCCCATCTGGGCACTGTGTGTTCATGTTGCAGGGCATGGCTGTGATTTCTGGAGAGAAAGGAAGAAGCCCATGCCATATCCCGCATGTCTTCTGGCAGACCTCAAGTCCTTGTCAGGGATGGGGCTTCCCAACACCCAGTGACCCCAACAGGTTCAGGCACTCTTGTGGCCAGGCCCTCCCGGGCTGGGGGAGGAACCACTGCTTGAGAGTCTGGATCTGTGGACCCCAGCCCAAGCCACCCTCATTTCCTGGTTATGAGGATGCTCAGGGACAGGGCAGGAAGGCTGCCCTGGGCACCTACCAAATTCACAGAGGAGCCCAAAGAATCCCAGGGGACACTGGCAGAGGGTGGTGTTGGTGCCCATGCAACTGCCTCCGTTGTGGCACTCACAGCCACTGGAGGTTCCTGCCACAAAGAGAGGGAGGAGCCTCCCATGTGGGGGTGCAGAAAGATGGCACCGTCGCTCCAGACCTGCCCTGCTCCTGGCCAACTTCCCACACAGATGCAGTGTACACACACTCACACACTTCTCGGGGTGTTTCCCACACAGATGCAGTGTACACACACTCACACACTTCTCGCGGTGTTTCTCACACAGATTCAGTGTACACACACTCACACACTTCTCGGGATGCTTCCCACACAGATGCAGTGTACACACACTCACACACTTCTCGGGGTGCTTCCCACACAGATGCAGTGTACACACACTCACACACTTCTCGGGGCGCTTCCCACACAGATGCAGTGTACACACACTCACACACTTCTCGGGGCGCTTCCCACACAGATGCAGTGTACACACACACATACGCTCAAGTTGCTTCTTGGGTATTCCTTGCATGCACCCACAGGGGCCCTGCCTGGGTCTCCTGCCCCAGCCCCAAAACGGCAGCCCTTGCAGCCCAGACGCACTCTCCCTGCAGTCCAGGCCCATGAAGCCTTCGGGGCACTCGCACACGTAGCCCTGGTCCGCATGCACACAGGTGCCCCCATTGTGGCAAGGGGCCGAGAGGCAGGCGTTGGGAACTGGGCGGTCTCCTGCAAAGAAAGACAGTGGTCACCAGCGGCCACGCAAGGAGTGTGGGGAGAGTGGTCTCCCCGCCCAGCCCCCACAGCACCTTTGGGTTTTTAACCTCAGCTCTCATTCCCAAGTGGGACTTAAGCCAGAACTTCTGGAAGCAGATTTGTAGCCACTCTGCACCCCGGGGCGCTCAGGATCTCCCAGCTCCTTCTGTGGACTGACAAGCAGCACTGGGCAACCACCCAGGGGCCAGGGGCCTCCACACGTCTGGCCAGGCATCCCTATCAGCGAAGTAATTGGGATTTTCCAGGTATCTTTCTGCTGTTCATCTCTAGTTTAATTTTGCTATGGTCAGAAAACACAATCCGTTTCAATGTATTGGGCCTTACTGATGGCCCACAATGTGGTCTTTGATGGCCATGAGCACTTGGGAATAATGTGAGGGCTTTGTAAATGCCACGGAGGCCAAGCTCAGGTCTTCTGCAGCTCTACCGACTTCCTGTCTACACGCTTCGTCCGCCACTGCGAGGGGAGGCCGAAACCTCCACCAACACTCATGGACCTGTTTCTCCCTGCAGTTCAGTAGCTCTTGCTTCGTGAATAGGTGTTAACAGGCACAAGTGTATCTACAGTTATGTTTTCTGGATGTATTGACCCCTTTATCCTTATTAAAGTGCCTCCCCATTCCCGGCGACATTCCTTCACGTTTAATTTATTTGATGTTAATATAGCCACTATAGCAATATCTCGATTAGTGCTTACCTAATCCTACTTTTTGGGTTTTAAAAGATGTTGTTTCTTTGTGTGCTTTTAAATTTGTCTTTGTAAATTAGTATACGGTAAAATTGACTTTGGTTCACTGCACCCCTATGAATTTTAACACATACATAATTTGCTTAACCCCCACCAAAATCTGGATACAGGACATTCCATCTCCCTAAAAGACTTCTTTGGTCTGTCTCTTCAGAGTCACAGAGCTCCTGTTACACCTCAGTACCTGGCAACTACTGATTTGTTCATCACTACAGTTTTCTTTGACCAAAAACACCATTGAGTGGAACCACGCGGTATATCATCTTTGAGATCCACCCAAGTTGTCATATGTATCAATAATTGGTCCTTGTTATGGCTGAGTAATATTCCACTGTACAGAGGTTCCACAATTTGTCTATCCATTTATCTTTGGAGTTTGGTGATTATAAACACATAATATAAACATCTGTGTATAAATTTGTGTGTGAACATAAGTTTTCATCTCTTCAGAGTTAATACCAAGGAATGGGATTGCTGGGTCATATTAGAAGCATATATTAACCTTATAAAAAACCTGCCAAACTGTTTTCAAAGTGGCTGAACGATTCTGCATTTCCACTAAAAATGTGTGACAGTCCCAGCTGTTCTGCATCTGTATCAGGTCAGTATTATATACGTATTTTAAGATGTTCTAATGGGTTTGTTGTGATTTCTCATAGTGGCTTTTATTTGCATTTCACTAATGGCTGATATTAATGACAAGAATATTTTTTCATCCGTTTATTCTCCTCCACATACGTATCTTTTGTGGCCAAGTGACCGTTCAAGTCTTTTGTCCATTTTTTAAATTAAGTTGTTTTCTCACAGTTGAGATTTGAGATTTCTTGATGTATTCTGGTCACAGGTCCTTTGCTGGGTGTGGGTTCTGCAAACGTTCTCTCCTGGTCTGTAGCTTGTCTTTTTGTTCTTCTAACCATGTCTTTCACAAAGCAGAAGTTTTAAATTTTGATGAAGTCTAATTTGTGTGTGTGTGTGTGTGTTTTAATGAATCATGCTTTTGCTGTCTTATCTAAGAAGACTTTGCCTAAGACTAGGTCATAAATATTTTTTTGGCCTATATTTTCTTCTAAAAATGTTATAGTTTTATGTTTTTATGGTCTATGATTCATTTTGACTTAATCTTTGTATAAGGTGTGAGGTTTAAGTTGAGGTTCATTTTTTTAAATAAGGATATCTAATTGTTTCAAATCCATTTGTTGAAAAGATTATCCTTTCTCTGTTGGATTGCTTTTAAATCATTTTCAAAAGTTAATTGGCCATACTTGTGTGGGTCTAATTCTGGATTTTCCCTTCTGTTTCACTGATCCATGTGTCTGTCCCTTTGCCAATATCACACTGAATTGATCACAGTGGCTTTACAGTGAATCTTAATACCCAGTAGTGTGATTCCTCAAAAATTTATTCTTCATCAAAATTGTTTTGGCTTTCTAAATTCTTTTTCTTTCTATATAAATTTTAGAACCAGTTTGTCTATATTTACAAAAGATTCTGCTGAGACCTCTGTTGGAATCATGTTAAATGTATAAATCAATTTAGAGAGCACTGCCATATTTACTATGTTGAGTCTTCTAAGCCATGAACATGGTATGTCTATTTATTTACTTGATCTTGATTTCCTTCATCAGCTCTTTGTAGTTTTTCAGCATACAAATTCTCTAATGCTTTATTAGATTTATTCTAAAGTCTTCCAACTTTAGAGGAGCTATTATAAATGGTATTGTCTATAAAATTTTGGATCAGATTACACAGATTCCTCCAACTTGGGGGGGCTCAGGAGTTCATAAATAACTTTATGGAGTTACTGTCCTAAGATTCACCCTCCATAGACTCCTGAGTACTTCCCAGTTTTCTGGGGCTACCTTTTTTAGTCCTCTGGCAAGAAAGCTGGGCTTTTATTTCTCTACCTTGCCACTTATTTATAATGATGGCATTCATTACTGGGGCCAAGCGATGGGACAACAGAGAAAGGGAAAAACAACAGCGAAGGGGAAAACAATACCCAACCCCTTTAAAAGCACAGTGCCTCCAGCTGGAGAGAAAGCTTTCCCTCCCTCACAGTTTAAAGACATCTGAGAGTTCCCCAACTTCTGCACTGTCAGCCCTGCTTCTTAAGCCTGACTAGAGGACTTCTCTGGAGCACTCTTTTTGTCCATGTGGATGCTCACTTCTGGTTTTGAGGTGTCTTTGAGTCCAAGCTGGGGGGATACCACAGCAAAAAACAAAAAATGGTAAACTCACCACTGGTTTGGTGGTACTTCGAAGCTTGGTCTTCTTCCCCAATCCACCTGCTACTACTTACTTTTCAGAGTCCTCTGATAGCTACTCCATGCATTTTGTCCAGGAGCTTAGCTGTATTCAGTGGGGGAGAGACAGGGATAGAGTGTGCTTACTCTATCTTTCTCAGAACCAGACACCCATTCTATTACTTTAAAATTATCCGTGTCTTTAGAGTGGGTTCTTGTGATAGTATGTAGTTGGGTATGCTTTTCAGTTTAGTTTGACAATCCTTGCCTTTTAATTCACGTTTAATCATTTTTCACTTGAGCGTAACTACCAGTACGACCAGATTGCACCTGCCACCTCGCTGTTGGTTTTCACGTGTCCCACTTCTTTCTTTTTTCCTCTTTTCTTGCCTTCTGGATTGAGTATTTGTAGGATTCAATTTCTACCTCCACAGTTAGTTTATTGGTTGTAATTCTTTATTCTTATTTTTCACTTGTTGTTCGAGGGTTTACAGTGTATATCTTTTACTTACGCAGCCTACCTTCAAACAATGTTACACCCCTTTATATAATACAGGGACCTTACAATACTACCTATCTTTTCTGTTGGGGTTGGTAAACTATAACTCACAGACCAAATCTTGCCTTCCATCAGTTTTTAAAAGGACAGTTTTATTGGAACATTGGAACACAGCCACACCTATTCATTTATGTATTGTCTGTGGTTGGCTGCTTTCACACGACAGTGGTAGAGTTGAATTGTGATAGAGACCATGGCTCAAAAAGCCAGAAGTATTTACTCTCTGGCCCTTTACAGAAAAACTTTGCACACCTTGGTTTATATTATTGGTGTCATCTATTTTATTTCTACATACATTATAAGCTTCATTATTTTACTTTAAAAATTATCTTTAAAGAGATTAAAAAGTCTTCAACCCACATAGTTATCATTTTTAACACTCTTCAGCCCTTTGCATAGATCTAGATTTTCCTTTGGTACCAGTTTTTCTTCTTCTGTCTAAATAATTTCCTTTAACATTTTTTTTGTAATGCAGGGATGCTGGTGATGAATGCTCTTCACTTTTGTTTGAAGAAGTCTTTATTTCAGCTTAATTTTTGAAATACAGTATTGCTGGTAATATAGTATGCTAGGTTGGTGGTTTTTTCTTTCAGTAATTTAAAGGTGTTACTCCAGTGTCTCCTGGTTTGCATTGTTTTTTGATGAGAAGTCTGTTGTCATTCTTGTTTCTCTGTATGTAATGTGGCTCTTTCCTCTGGCTGTTTTTAAGATTTTTTATCAGTTTTCAGCAATTTGATTATGGTATGGCTTTGTGTGGTTTTCTTCATGCTTTTCTTGGAAATGTGGGTTTTAGTTTTCACCAAATTTGGAAAACGTTTGGGTATTATTTCTTCACATCCTTTTTCTGTAATACTCCTTTCCACACCCATCTCCATCCTCCTTCTCAGACTCCAGATACACGGCTCCTCCGTGCTGAATACTGTTCTGCAGGTTGCCAAGATCTCTTCTCTTTATTTCAGTCTTATTCTCTCTGTGACACACTGAATTGTTTCTGTTTCACTGTTCAGGTTCACTGATCTTTCCTTCTGCAATATCTAACCTGCTGTAAATACTATTCAGTGTATTTTAAAAACTCAGATATATTTTTCATCTCTACAAGTTTTAAAATATACCTCTACTTCTCATTGTTTTTTTCCCCTCAATAATCTTGAGCATATGGTGCATATTCATAACAGATAAACATTTGTATCTGCTAATTTGATCACTGCTGTCATTTCTGATGCCTATTTCTATTGATCTATTTTTCTCCTGGCTGTGAGTTACCTTTTACTTCTAATAATTTTTGACTGGGTATTTGGATTCCGCTGTATTACTGCTATACTCCTGTTAAGGAGTGTAGGATTTTATTCTGACGCATAGCTAAATGACTTAGGATCCATCTGGTCCTTCTAAAGCTTTCTTTAAGATTTGTTATGTGCAGGTCTATATTAGTTTTTAGTTCAGCACTTATTTATCCCTGCGACTAAAGTGACAACCCACTGAGAACTCTACACATCGATTCCCAGCCCCGTTTCAGTTCCAGGAATTGTCTGATTAACTGCCCATGGTGGTTCTTTCCCCAGGCTGTGGATTTCACCCTGAGTCAGGAAATACTGAGCCACAGTTCAAGGAAGTATCCTCTTGATCTCATGCTCCCTCCTGCCTCAGGAGCACCCTTTTCTCTGGTATTCTGCCCCACAAACTGTAGCCATGGAACTAGGATCTAAGCCTCAATTCAGAGGGACTGCTGGATTCTCAATTCCTCCTCCCAGCATAGTGGCCTGGAAACTGCCCCCAGGCAGAATCTGGGGCAATCATAGGGCTCACCTCATTTGAGTCCCTTTTCTCTGGGATGACAGGCTTGTGCTGTCTGTTGTCCAATGGCTGAAAAAGGGGTTTCCCAGATTTTGCCTGTTTCTAGATGTTGATAGTGAGAAGGAAATTCCCAGAGCAGTGAATGCTTCCTGGCCAGAAGGAGAAGACGAGAAAGTCTTCCTTATGGTCCCCAGTTTTTGGCCGACTTCCTGTCAGACCTGATTAGATTATCAGCATTTGTGCCTTGTAATATAGTCAACTTATATTAGCAAAAGAGTTGTCAATTGTTTCTTTCTTTCCTTTTCTTTTTTTTCACTATCCACCTGGCGGAACCGTTCCCTTTCCTTTTCTTTTTTTTTTTGAGACAGCATCTTACTCATTCTGTCACCCAGGTTGGAGTGCAGTGGTGCGATCTCAGCTCACTGCAACCTCTGCCTCCCTGGTTCAAGCAATTCTCTAGCCTCAACCTCCCGAGCAGCTGAGATTATAGGTGTGCACCACCACGCCCAGCTAACTTTTGTATTTTTAGTACAGATGGGGTTTCACCATGTTGGCCAGGCTGGTCTCGAACTCCTGACCTTAAGGGATGCACCTGCCTCAGCCTCCCAAAGTGCTGGGATTACGGGCGTGAGCCACTGTGCCTGGCCAGTCGATTGTTTCTTATTATCCACTTCTACTTCTGTACAAAACACGGTCTATCTGCAAAAATCTTTTGAAACCACTTATCTGTTTCCTGACATGAATTTAGTGAAATACACTGATACTTAGATAACAATCTGGGTAAAGTGAGCTGTGACACGAACAGTGACTTTAAAGCAGCCTAACAGGTGAGGCTGCCTCCTCCCCGCCTGCCCTGCAGAGCACTACCCTCCCCTCAGGACACACCCTGGCTTCTCATGCACTTGGCAAAGACTGAGAGAGGGCCCATGACCCTCTGTGTCTTACAGGTAAAATGTAATTTCCTCCTTAATTTTTAAACCAAAAATAACCTGAATAGTTTGACTTTAGCATCTCCCTGGAGAGAAGCAGCACCTGCTGTGTCCACAGAGGCTGGCACAGTGGGTGAGCCTCGGGAGGCTGTGTCCACAGAGGCTGGCACGGTGGGTGAGCCTCGGGAGGCTGTGTCCACAGAGGCTGGCACGGTGGGTGAGCCTCGGGAGGCTGTGTCCACAGAGGCTGGCATGGTGGGTGAGCCTCGGGAGGCTGTGTGACTATCAGACATGAAAGCCCTGCTTTATACTGTGGGCTGTAATCTCCAGTTGGCCTTTTAATTCCCCTAACAGGTCACAACTAGCAATTAAACAATAGAAAACAGAATAAAAAATAGTAGCTTTCAGCACATGTAGTAAAGGCCAGTTTTCCTTCTGATTCCCATGACTTTCCCTCGTGTGGTGAGGATTCTAGAGTAGGAAAGAAAGACGTGAAAAAGCCAAGAATCACCCAGGCTGGAAGAGGAGCCTTGGGAACTGTCATCCCTCCCGGGATTTCACAGATGGAAACCCAGGCCCAGAGACGGGGAGCGGTTGCTCAGCCTCACACAGCACACTGGCGACAGAGCGTCCATCTTTTGCTTCCTATTTTCCCTGCAGCTGGTGGATGGGCAGGAAGCGTTGGGGAGTGGGAAGAGGGCAGAGGCAGCCCCCACCCTACAGGCAGGTGTGGGTGAGTCAGACGGCAAGGCAGGAAGGGAGTGGCTATGGTGTGTTCACCACACAAGGCCGCCACTGCCCATGGTGGGCAGCAGGCACCTGGCCAGTTACCTGTCTCGCAGTGAGGTCCCGTGAAGGGCTCTGCGCACAAGCAGGTGTAATTCCCCACGAGGTCGACACAGGAGCCTCCATTCAGGCAGGGCTCAGAGCTGCAGTCATCCACATCTGAGGGGCAGCAGAGGTGGGGGCGTGGCTTGAGCCGGGCCATGGCCACCCGGTGCCCAGCACCTGGTCTCCGGCAGGAGCCCCCTCCAACCCTAGGGCAGCCACTCACCTGTCTCGCAGGCGGCTCCGGTATATCCAGCCTGGCACACGCACACTGCAGAGCCCCTCTCCACCCGGCACTGGCCACCATTGTGACACTCTTTGGTGTCACAGGGGGACTGGGCTAGAGTGAAGAGGTGTAGACGGGACATTGGACTGCCATCTATGGTCACCTGATGGGACAGAAACCCCTGGGACATACACTGAGCCCCACTCCCGGCTGGCCTGCAGGGCGGGGGGCCTGGCAGGCAGATTCCTGAGGGGTGGCAGTGAAGGAAGAGGCCTGGCCAGACAGCCTGGACTGGCCACCTGAAGCGCCGTCTGAACTGGGTCTAATTCAGCAAAGTTGGGATGGAGGGAGGGGTGTGTGTGCTGGGCGGGACAGAGGTGTGCAGGAACCCACTCCCACTCTTGGGCAATGGTCTATCCCCAGGAGGCTTCCATGCCAAGCAGACTGTGACAAGAGCTGTTGTCGAGGATGCAGGCTGTGACTGAGCGTGGAAGGGTGGGCAGCGCCCAGGGTGTGGGAGTGGCACCTGGGGTGAGCAGCTGGGTGGGCAGCCAACGGCCTGTGCAGGAGCAGCCAGGGCAAAGGGACTCTGGCTCCCGGTTACTGAGTGGGCGTGAGCTTGGGGAGCCCACCCCCTGCGCTGCCTCCTCACCGGATGCTGGCCCTCCTTGAGCCCAGAGCACCTGGCCCAGGCATCCCAGGTCTCTCCTTTGCCCCCAGGCAGCAGAGGCAGAAGTGGGGGAGCTACATTCCCTGTCTTATGGACAACTCACACCCAGACGAACTCAACATAGAAACCAGAGTGATGGCCAAGGCGTGTGTCCCTCCCTGGAGTCATGGGGGAATGGTGGGGCCCTCTCCTTGGCACAGGAAAGAGACAGGAGGGCCTGGCCGCCTGGGAGGTGTGAAAGCGCTTTGGTGGCTGACAGCACGTGGTGATCCTGTCTCCCTGACCCCAACTCCACTAGGCAGAGCAGCACGCACATCCTTGCCTCTAGCTGTGGGCGTTCCTGGACTCTGGGAGGCGAGGTGGATTCCGAGACTAGGGAGCCTCTGTGGGGGGCAGGGGGGCTTATACCCAAGGCTTGGGCCACAACTGCACTGGGAAGTCCATGGCTCGGGGCTCGGCTGATGTGCTGCAGGGCCAAGATCTCAACCAGGCTCCTGGCTCCGGGCCCCAAGCCCTCAGGGGGCCTCACCAAGCTGTACATCGCAGAGGGCGAGGGGCTCGGCTGATGTGCTGCAGGGCCAAGATCTCAACCAGGCTCCTGGCTCCGGGCCCCAAGCCCTCAGGGGACCTCACCAAGCTGTACATCGCAGAGGGCGAGGGGCTCCTGGAGCCTGGGGCAAAGACAGGGAGCAGCCCGTTCCTGGGAAGCTCTGCCCAGTCACCCTTGGGAACCCTCCTCATAGGCCTGGGTGCTTCTGTAGTGAGGCCTTCCCGGCCACATTCCACAGGGAGGGCACTCAGCAGGAGGAAAGAGACCCTGTTGGCCTCCCTGGCCTTTGCCAAGGGCCAGAAGCCTGCCACGGCACCACCACCACAGAAGCCCGACTCACACCCGCCTCGCATCGAGAACACGTGGGCAAGCAGGGCAGGAGTTTCTGGACGAAGAGAAATTCCTTTGCGCGGAGTTTGCTCCGACACTCTGGCTGTGGGGAGTGGCAGGGGCTGGGGAGTGGCAGGGGCCAGGGTGCAAGGGACATTGGGGATCACTGTTGTCACCTGTGTGTGATCTTTACAACAACTGACCAGCCCATCCCACAGGTAGGAGCTGTGCTTCGCTCATTTCCATTGCACTCCTGCAGAATTTCACGCGAATGTACTTTTAGGTGCAAAATCTCTTACTGCCACTCAACTACAGTTCTCTCCAATACCAACTTGTAAACATTGGAGTGAAATACTTAAAAATAACCCCACGACCATAAATATCTGATAAGAATTGCTTATAGATAGAGTCACTATTTGAACACACGGATCTCAACAATCTACGACACGTCTTTGTAAACGACGGTGGCACAGTCAGGGACGTGCACGCTTGGCCAAGCCAGGTGGGGAAGAGCAGGTCACAGCGCTTTGATCTTAGGGGCTCCCTTTGCAAAGCTCCCTGAGCAGACCCCCATGGTAAGATGGAGAGCAGGAAAGGGGGCCCACCTTTCTTACCAGGTGGGTGAAGGGCATGGGTGAGGGGCCGGAAGAGGTGCTGGCAGGTAAGCAGAGGCTGACTCTGCCAACTGCTTCAGAAGGGCTGGGCTCTGAACTCGAAGCAGCAGTGAAGGTGGAGACGGACTCCACGCCCTGCCCGGACGGTGAGACCCCCTTGCCCGTAAGGCAGGGGCAGGAGAGAAACAGCGTCCGGGAGCAGCTCGAGGGAGCCACTGGACGTCTGTGCTCATGGCCACGTGGCTGTGCCCTTCCCGCCCACAGGGGCCCGTCTGACCCCAGAAGCACCGCATGTCCCCCTCAAGCTGGTTCTGGGCTGAGGGGGTCTGACGGCCCCACCACACCCGCAGACAGGCTCTCACCCAGGCCCTGCTGCCCATCTGGCCCTGACCCTGGCCTGGTTTGTGACCTAAGCACAGGCCTGTTCTGAGGCCTCATCCCTGGTCTGAATGCCATGGCCTTGGAAGCTTGTGTGACTGTGCTCAGGGCCCCAGCCTCCCACCCAGATATGGGCCTTTCCCTGGGCAGCCGGCTCCTCCCCTCCCCACACGTGGCCTCCCCGGGCTCCCCCGCTCCCCACACGTGGCCTCCCCGGGCTCCTCCCCTCCCTGTGCGTGGCCTCCCCGGGCTCCCCGCTCCCACGCGTGGCCTTCGCGGGTTGTCCACCTTGCAGCATGTACAGCTGCCGGACCTCCCCAGACCTCGGCCTCATTCAGCTGTCTCTCCTGCCATCCTGCACCCAGCAGGGCCCCGGAGGTCAGGGGGCTCCTCTTACCTGTCTCACAGGTAGGTCCCCCAAAGCCGGCCGGGCACTGGCAGCTGAAGCTGTTGATGCCGTGAGCGCAGGTGCCGCCGTTCTGACAGGGCTGGGAGGCGCATTCGTTCACGTCTGAAACGGGGTAGGCTGGGCCTCAGGGGCATAGCAGGATCGGGGCGTTTCCTCCGGGGCCCTGGGTTGGGCGGGGGGACGGAGAAGCAAGCCCGAGACTGGCTCCGAGGGGCAGCGGCTGCACCCGCCCATGGCGCGCACCCCAGGGGCCCACGGCATTTGGTTCCCAGTGGTCCGCTAAGCACGTCACCCACACCCCGGGGACAGAGACCCCTGACCTGGGGCCCCAGGAGCTCAGGGCCGCTGGTGGGGCCTGCAGTGCTCCCTGAGCCCAGCACAGCCAGTGCGGATGCCGCCCTGGGCCCACCACTCACCCAGGTGGCACCTCCGCCCAGTGAAGCCCGAGAGGCAGGAGCAGGTGTAGGAGGGGTTGCCCGTGACGCAGTCGTCAATGCACTTGCCGCCGTTGAGGCAGGGGCGCAGGGCCAGGCACACGGAGGCTGCAGGCAGGGAGGGGCTGGAGCCTCAGCAGCCTCGGGCTCCACTCCATGGGAGAGCCACTCCCTCCCCCCCGCACAGATGGCCGGCCTCTGGGTGCCGGGTGAGCGCGGCGAAGCAGCCAGGGTCCAGGTTTCACGTCAGGTGGGAGCAGGGGCCGTTCTGCTGCTGTGGCCTCTGGGAATGTGGCTTCCCGTGGGGTGGACTCCCCAGGGCGGCTCACACCCGCCCCTCCTGTCCCCTCCGCCCCTCCAGCACTGCCTCAGGCAGTTCTAGAACCTGGCACACTGCGCCTCCCTCCCTGTTCCTGCTGGCGCTCAGCCGCGGTGTCAGCGGTTCTGGGACAAGGTGGGCCATGCAGGGGCATGGCTGGGGCGGCAGGAGGGCTCTGTCCCTCAGATGCTCGGGGTGGCAGCTCCTGGGCTCCCTGTCCCTTGAGCCCCGACTCCCTAAGCTCAGATGCAAGCTGGGGTCCCTTCGCGCCCTATGCACGGGTAGCTGGGACCCCTCGGGTCTCCCTCACCACGGGGCCACCCGCAGCTCTCAGAGGCATCTTCCAGCTCTCAGAGGCATCAGCTCTCAGAGGCTGCGCTCCCCACCTCATGGCACGCCTCTACCCCCCAGACCCTCCACCCCCACCTACCCCGTGATGCGCCTCCACACCCCCCAAACTATCCCCCACGTCCAACCCTGTGGCATCCCCCACCCCTCACACCACGGTGCACCTGTAACCCCCACACCCCCCCGTGGCGTGGTCGGCACACCCCAGCCCTGACCTCATGTCGCGCCTGCAACCCCACCTGCACCCCGACAGTGCTGCTCCTGCCCTGTGCCCCTGTCGTGTTCTCTGGGGACTCAGTGTTGCAGAAAAGCGGCCCCTCTGCCCTGGGGGTAGCCTAGATGATCACGGCTGGCAGGTGAGTCTGGGGCAGGTCCCAGCGCGGTCTCCCTATGGCCCCGGCCTTGGCAGGGCTTCGTGGAGCCCTGGTGGAGCCATGAGTCACCTGCCTTCGCCCCACATGTAAGCAGTGATTTCAGAGGCTCCCCGGCTCCGAGGCCGCACAGCAGCAGGGCTGGGATTACACGCCCGCTTCTGCTGCCGCCTGTCTGCTCCCACGGGCCACATGTCCACCCCTGTGGGGGGACCCACCCCACCCACTTGTGCGCCCTGGGCTGGAAGGACCCCTGGAACTCCCACGTCCACGTGATGCTCGGGTGTGTCAAACAGACAGCAATCCCAGCAAGCAGCAAGCCTGCCAGCAGAAGTGGGGACCTGGGCGATAAGAGCACCTGCCTCCCCGGTGGCCCTGGGGGTCAGAGACCACGTGCTGCTCCTCCCCCAGGCCAGGAGGGAGGCCGGGTGGGAACGTGGGGAGAGCACGGGCCTCACAGTCCCAGGGACAGGCGCCCCTGGGCTCCTCCTCCCCTGAAACCTGCAGTCCCCAGAGGGTTCCCTCCAACCCGGAGCAGTGTGTGTGTGGAGGTCTTCTCTAGGGGAAACTGAGGCTCCAGGACCAGCCAGGCTCTCCTTAGTTTCGCGTGCCTGAGGTCAGCCTCCGGCCCCTCTCCGCCTCTCCTCCTTTGCCGTCAGCCCGCCCCCACCCCAAGCTGCTCCTCTGTCTCTTACTTGTATGGGCGCAGCCCCCCACGCGCACCTGGGCATCATCGATTCTGAACGCCCAGCGCCCGGGCACGCCCACATTGGTGGTGGTCTCCACGTCGGCCATGTCCGCCGTGCGCGAGCCAGGGATACTGAAGTAGCGCTGGCCGTCGCCCGCGTTGAAGCCAGCCTGGGGGCGGAGCGGGGCAGAGTGAGGGAGGCCGCTTCCCCAGCTCTACAGAGGTTGGGGTTTCCCTGCCCCCACCACGTCCCAGCCAGGTTCCTGGGGGCCAAGGAGAGGGCTGGCCCTGGCTCCCCAGCCCTGTCCCCCAGCAGCTCACCCCTGGGCTCTTGGGGCTCCCATAGGGCCAGGGGCAAGTATGACCCCAGGAGAAAGCAGGTGGCCAGGAGGCCCGTGGGGGTGTGCGCAGCCCAAAGGCACTCTTGGGCCTTCGGAGCACTGACCTGCGGCCCCTGTCCTGTTTCACTCCCCTAGCACCCGGGGTTTCCTGCCAGCGTGGTCCCTCAGGTCCCCGGCTAGGCCACACTGCAGGGCACAGGGAGCAGAGGCCATTTCTGTTGCTGCTGCAGCTGTTGATCAGGGCCTGCAGGGCGGGGCGGGCGGGGCAAAGGTGCCTTTGGGTCTGAGGATGTCTCTTGGTTTTCAGGCAGTGAGAGAGGCCTCAGGGATGGCTGCGGATGCCTCTCGCTGACCTCTGCACTGTACTGGGGGGTCTACCTACTGGGAGTCCCTGCCTACCTCACCAGCTCATGACAATGCCGGCTGTGGGGAGCAGGGGTCCGGAACACAGAGCACCCCTGCACTCGCCTACCTGCGCTGCGATGCCCCCCAGGCCGGTGGCGTTGCCCCCGCTGCTGGCGTGTGTGCCTGTGGTCCACGTGATGGACTCGTAGTTGAAGATGGTGAAGGAGAGCCTGCCGTCTGTGATGAGCACCGTCTGGAACGTGTTGACCTGCGGGGAGAGGGGGCTGAACAGGGCCCTGAGCTCCCCTTGGCCCAGGGACGCCCTGCCCTGTCCGCCTTCCCTGTACACTGCCGTTTTCCACTGGGCCCCTGGCTTGCTCAGTGTCTGTGTCCTCCAGCTGCGTAGGCAGCCAAGGCAGGACCTTGGTGGCCGCATCCTCTGCTGTCTCCCAGCACCTGCCACCCATTAGAGGCCGTCCACAACCCGCAGCTGTTGCTGGGGTGAGTGAGTGATGCACCCGGGGCAGGTGCAGGGCCAGCAAACGGGAGCAGACCCTGTCCCCCACCCTTGGGTGGGCTCAGGCTCCCGTGGGGGGGGAGGGGCAGAGCACCGAGTGTTGGCACTCACTGAGCCAGAGCCACAAATCTGTGAAATGAGCGAAACTGTACAGAGGAAGAGGGGAAAGGCACAAAGACGCGAGGGAGAGCCGTGCTGCATGGGCCCCAGCCAAGCCTTGCGGGTTCACACACTTCCGCTGCACGGGAATATCGGGTACAAAGACGCGAGGGAGAGCCGTGCTGCATGGGCCCCAGCCAAGCCTTGCGGGTTCACACACTTCCGCTGCACGGGAATATTGGCGGTCAGAGTGCAGGTAAGAGATGCCACGTGAGACTCGAGCGAAGGATCCGGACTGTTTAAGAGATGATCTGGGCACGAACAGGAGTCCCCGAAAAGCATCAGATCAGAGTGTGCCTTTCCACACACACAAATCCCCAATCCAATAAGGCTTTAAAGGGAAAGAAAAGTCCCAGAAAGTGCAGGCGAATATCAATAACTCAGGAAAGCGAAAGGACCTTCAAGTGTGACGTTTGTTCACAGCAGAAACCAAAAGGGAGCATCACATGCTTGACTGCGAAAGGCTTCTGGATACTAAGAAAAGCCGTAAGATCACACTGACGGCAAACAGCAAAGTGAAAAATGCATCTGTAACGCGTACGGCAGGTAAAACCATCGAGATCCTTAGTTCAAGAACTGCAGATCAACGAGACCAAAAGAATTACAGAAAACACGTCCAAGGTGTGAACAGACACGTCACAGCAGAAAACAACTAGCCGATAATATCAGAACAAACGCAGCACCACCAGAAATTCAAGATGTCATGGGTTAATGGAACATGACAGCTGGGGTGCAAGGAAGCAGGCCCTTTTAAATGCGGCTTCTCTGAGTATGAATGTGGAGATTGCTTTTGTTTTTTTTTTGAGACGGAATCTCCCTCTGTTACCCAGGCTGGAGTGCGGTGGCGTGATCTCGGCTCACTGCAACCTCTGCCTCCCGGGTTCAAGTGATTCTCCTGCCTCAGTCTTCTGAGTAGCTGGGATTACAGGCGCCTGCCACCACACCTGGCTGATTTTTGTATTTTTAGTAGAGAAGGGTTTCAGCATGTTGGCCAGGCTGGTCTGGAACTCCTGATCTCAGGTGATCCACCTGCCTCGGCCTCCCGAAGTGCTGGGATTACCAGTGTGAGCCACTGCACCCGGCCTGAATGTGTAGATTTTTGAGAGGAAAGTTGGAATTCTGCAGGCAGCAATCTCCCTTCTAAACATGCATGCCAGGACAGGATCGTGAATAAGGCGACTTGGGCTATGCCATGCCTGCCTCAGGCCCCTGGGATTGCAGCCGTCCTGTCGTGGGGTGCACGTGAAACATTCACGCACCGCCTGGTGGGGGGGCGAGCTTGCAGCCATTGAAGAAGATGCACGATCATACAGTGTCCATTCCACTGATGTAAAGTCAACACTAGAGAGACTACGCGCTCTGCTTCGGGAAAGCAAGCCTACGTGCTAACAGTTGGAAAACCAACGAAGATGAGAGGGCTGCAGAATGGGCCGGTGGTGCCGTGCAGGGACAGGGCGGACCAGAGCCAGTCAGCGCCCATGGGGGGCTCTGGGAGCTGGAGAGGCGCAATGAGGGCATGCACGGAGCTAACTGTCCATTTTCTGTCAGCGGGCCTGCTCCTGGAAGTGCCCCGGGCTGGGTTATGCTTCTGAGCACTTCCTGATGCCTGGCCAGGTGACCCCCTGGGCAGATGCGTCCTGTCTGCTTCATCCGGGCTGCCTGTGCAGTGCCTAGAGCACTTGCCTGTGGCTTAGAAGGTGCCCTTCCAAGGTGTTTATTAAGTGCATGAACGAACAGCTCTGCAGACGGGTGCTCTGCACCCACAGCTCTTTGCTAGGGAGTCACTGTCTGTCTTGCATGGTCATGACCCAGTGCAGGCCTGGCCACCGCAGGTGCCGAGGAAACACATCTGCCACCAGAGTGGCCACCGAAGGTGCCGAGGAAACACATCTGCCACCAGAGTGGCCACTGTAGTTGCCAAGGAAACACATCTGCCACCAGAGCTGCCACCGAAGGTGCTGAGGAAACACATCTGCCACCAGAG